GGAAGAAGAAGATATATATCACCTGTGGTGAGCGAGGAGGAAAAGGAAGAGAAACAGGAAGAGCAAAAAAAAGTTGAAGCAAAAATGGAGGAAGAAAAGGGAAACGAAAAGAAAGTTGAAGGAGAAAAACAAGAAGAACAATTTGAAGAGGCGTCAAAACAAGAGGAGGCGCCAAAACAAGAGGAGGAAAAAGTTGAGGGAACTGTCAAGAAGCGACGCCCTATATTCACTTGGCAACCCACCGCGGTTATGGGTAGTGTGCTTCGGATACCGAGCTTTATCCAAACATGCACTCTGAAAGCGACACAGCTCTATAATTTTATGAAGATGAATCGTGCAGAACGGCGTTGGAAGTCAGAGATTGATTATGTGAGGAAACCAAGGTTCTGGGAAGACCTTTTGCAGGATCGGATCTGGCTAAAGGATGGAGTAAGTTCATTTCTGTTACACGTTTCAAATATTCATTTGGTCACTTTGGTCACACTGGTCACGTTGGTCACACTGGTCACGTTGGTCACACTGGTCACACTGGTCACGTTGGTCACACTGGTCACACTGATCACGTTGGTCACACTGGTCACGTTGGTCACACTGGTCACGTTGGTCACACTGGTCACGTTGGTCACACTGGTCACGTTGGTCACGTTGGTCGCACTGGTCACGTTGGTCACGTTGGTCACACTGGTCACACTGGTGACGTTAGTCTTACTAATATCGGACGTTATTTTGTAGCACTTGGACGAAGCTATACTTGAAATCAGGAATCGCCTGGCCAAAGAAGGTTGTCCAACAGCAACAAAGTACATGATTGGCGACACAAGTTTCGGCGAATTCCTCAAATGGTGGGGTCATGGAAGTATGACCGATTTGAATGGGCTTGAGGATTACTTTGATGGAAAAGCACCAATTGGGTGTGGAGGGCGCAAGATGGGAAGTTACGAAGGGTTTGTCGCTCCCCTCAGCATACCTTCGTTGGTCAATCCTGATGTAAGTGTGCATTGGGTGGCCATTAGAGTCATCCCTGTGAAGAAGCTGATTCAGGTATTCGACTGCAACCTGAAAATGAGGCCGAACGTTGACGCGATTATTGGCCGGTTGGTGTGGTGGCTCCCAAAGATATATACGGTCGCCAAGATCTACCAATTTGATGAAAGCACCACATTTGACTACCATTACGTCGAAGGGCTGCCTCAAAATGGTAACGGAGATGACTGCGGTGTGTTTACCAACATGTACCTTGAAGCCCTGATGCGAGGTCAAGAAAGAACGCTGTGCAATCAAATTTGCGATGAAAATAGTTCATCGATTTGTGAGAAGATTGCCGCGGATATCTTCTCAAATGGCGAGATTGTGAGTCTTGCTCCCTATGTACGACGTGACGATTCCTCCCCAGATGCAAGATAAATTGATTCTTGTATTTTGTTTAAACCTTTGACTTTATTTTATGTGTTAACTATTTTCTTAATGTTCGAATATTTTAAAATTATCGCAGGAAAGTTTAGATTTTCGCAATTGCATATTGGCCAAAAGTTTAGGATTTCGGTTGGCGGGATTTTTAAATTTTTTTTAAAAAAAGGTGTAATCTACGATCATAGAAATGGTTCGGAGAAGTAATCTGAGTTGAAAATCGCTGAGCATTTTTCGATCGAAAGCTATGAACACAAAATGAATCTCATAAGTGTTAGTAGTGTTTTAGGAACACTTTGGATCAATGTAACTTTGTGTTCGTATTTTTTTTGTTCAAACCGCTCACGAGACGTTCGTGTGAAGTGTATTTACATCGTTCTACAACGCAAAAACCTTATTCAATCCCCCCACAGATGAATTTGTTCATTTTGATCACATCCCGATGGTCACACTGGTCACACTGGTCACACTGATCGAATTTGATGAATTCAACGCTTTGAATGTGTAATCTACGATCATAGAAATGGTTCGGAGAAGTAATCCGAGTTGAAAATCGCTGAGCATTTTTCGATCGAAAGCTATGAACACAAAACGAATCTCATAAGTGGTTTAGGGTTTAGGGTTTAGGGTTTAGTAGTGTTTTAGGAACACTTTGGATCAATATAACTTTGTGTTCGTATTTTTTTTGTTCAAACCGCTCACGAGACGTTAGTGTGAAGTGTATTTACATCGTTCTACAACGCAAAAACCTTATTCAATCCCCCCACAGATGAATTTGTTCATTTTGATCACATCCCGATGGTCACACTGGTCACACTGGTCACACTGATCGAATTTGATGAATTCAACGCTTTGAATGTGTAATCTACGATCATAGAAATGGTTCAGAGAAGTAATCCGAGTTGAAAATCTCTGAGCATTTTTCGATCGAAAGCTATGAACACAAAGCATTAAGAGTGAATTAAACTTCGAATAAAAATTACATTGTTCAGTAGGAATAAAAGTTACATTTAGTGCAGACTAATTAGGCGATTGATTCCAAATTTTTTCTCCCTGACGATGTTGAACTTTGGGGTCTTTTCCGAGCCTCGCCAGGTCCAGGAAACCGACTCTGTTTAGGTCTTCCAGTCCGACGTTTTTCTTGTATTATAGGCGGTAACACTGAAAAATTTAAAATTTCGGGCGGTAAGACCCAATCACAAATATCGGGCACGGGATACACAGTCTCTTGGTAAGCCTTGACCCAAGTCTCTCGCCAGTAGTATTCAGAGCATAATTCGTGAATCGCAATACCTTTTCCGACCTTATGTGCTGCTGCAATTGCATGACTACATGGATACCTATCCAAATCAAACTTTCTGCAACTACAGGTTCTATCACCAAGATTTACCAAATGTCTTCTACCTTTTTCATCCATTGCCTCAAACATACCACTCAACCTGTTAAGTTCAATAACCTCATACATACAGGCCTTCTCGAACCGTTCATGCAGCGCTTTGTACACATACGGAGTTAACTTTTGAGAATCATCGCCACCACATGCTTCCACCCTGTACCTACTGAACCATTCTACCGTCTTCGCGACACAGATATCAAGCAAACTGAGTAGCGGATACCTTTTGGCCTTCTTCAAAACGAAGTTGATTGATTCGACACCATTGGTGGTTAATAAGTTATATCTTTCAGTCCGAAATTTACACCTTGCCCACTTCTCCGGAGCAAGTTCTTCTTTTTCCATGTACTCTGCCGCTTTGGGATACCTGCAAATCATGAGATATTCACATCAGTTTACACTGGTCACACTGGTCACGTTGGTGACACTGGTCACGTTGGTCACACTGGACACACAAGGCATACCTGTTCTTGAAATCAGAGTACAACTCTTCAAACTCCTTCTCCGTGTATGCTGATGCACATTTAAAAAACAATTTAGCCACGGTTTCACCTCTTGAACCCTTTCTTCCGGATCCCCTATTAACATGTGCTTTCAAGTTTTGCGATATGTGTCTTGCACAAAAACCATGATCAGCTTGTTTATATACTTCTCTCACAGCTTTCAATATACTTTTATGCCTATCGGATATCACAACCACATCAGGTCCATCCAGTATTACTTCGCTCAATCTATTCATAAACCATCTCCATGAAGCGTCTTTCTCTCTATCGATCACACCCTATGCTAAAGGATATTGGTGATGTTCTCTATCCTGCGCGGTTGCCACGACCAATGCTCCCTTGTATTCGCTTGTCAAAAATGTCGCATCAACAACAACAACTTTACGCATATACTTCCATCCTTTTATAGTTGCACTTAACGCGACAAATAGGTACTTGAAGCTTTTCTGATCATTGTCCAACTCAAGTCGCACTATGGATCCAGGATTTCTTTCTCTCAGCATGTACATCCACCCAGGAAGCCTCATGTAATGATCGATATGATTACCGCGAATCTCTTTTTCAGCACTGTGCTTCCCTCTCAATGCCATCAAATACGAAACAGTTGCCCCGTACTTGGTTTTTATTCGTCGTACTAATTCTGGGGCATTAGGAGTTTCGAGGATCCCAGCATATTCTTCCTTCAAATAATCTCTAACTAAATTCGATGTACCTTTCATAGCTTCTTCTGAAACAGGTCTGCATCTGTGAATTGGATTGTGTGTTCTTACGCTAAAACGATTCGAACTCGGGATCGATGCGATGCGCAATTTCCAGTTACAACCTGATCCAGCAAACTTGCATCTTATCTCCCACAACTTCTTGTCAGACTTCACTGTAACATAGCTAAAACAAGCCTTAACTGAACCCTTTCGTATATATTATTGCGCTTCTTGCTTATTATCAAACTCATACCCAATATCTATGTTCAATCCATCCGTAAATTCGAATACTGAAGTACAAAACAATGAGTCCTCCACAACTACCATGGCCATATCAGACGTGCTTTCAGCTTGCATAGTCGTTGCACACTCCACTACAACCTTCTCATTTCCATCAAGTCCAGTTTCACGGTCCACTAAATCTGTACCAATCTCATTTCGATCAACTACAGTATCGGCGAGAATATCATTTACAGAGTCCACTACATCTGTCGCATTTCCATTCACTTCAACTGCTGCTGCTGCTCCAATACATAAACTATTACTCCCAACTTTACTCTTGAAATTTGGACTCTGGATAACATCGCAATCCTTATAACCTACACATATTATACCTCCATATGGTCCAACACAACTCGCTAAATCAGGAATTCTAAACTCATTTTCTGACCTCGCCTTTTCTATCTCCACGTGAAGCATGCTTCTGCCTCCATTCATTTTGTCCAGAAGATAAATTAAAACTTGTTTATCATTCGATATGTAAATCGGCTCAGTACCTCCTTTTAAAGCTGGCAAATAGCTCAGCTTCATGTCTGTTTTACTTTGGTCAGCCTCCATTTCAGAATATAACTCTTCAACAAGACGTTTGTATTTCAATTCAGTTGGAGGACACATGAATATGACTCCCTTCCCATCCTTAACTTTTCCAACCCATTCGTATTCACTGTTACCATTCAATACCCACTTTCCATCAGACTTGAAATAAATAATTGTGATTTTCTCGTCGACTGCATCCATTATGCCTGTATAGAATAAATAAGATTCGTAAGATACATGTGACCAGAGTGACCAAAGTGACCAGTGTGACCAGAGTGACCAGAGTGACCAGAGTGACCACAGTGACCACAGTGACCAAAGTGACCACAGTGACCAAAGTGACCAGCGTGACCAGAGTGACCAAAGTGACCAGTGTGACCAAAGTGACCAATATGACCAGTGTGACCAACGTGACCAGTGTGACCAGAGTGACCAACGTGACCAGTGTGACCAACGTGACCAGTGTGACCAGAGTGACCAACGTGACCAGTGTGACCAACGTGACCAGTGTGACCAACGTGACCAACGTGACCAACGTGACCAGTGTGACCAACGTGACCAGTCAATACCGGTTTTAGTGATATATATAAGAAAAATGAGGTCATATCTATACACATGTTAGGTCGAATTAAATCGAAAATAAATACTGGGTTGTGCGATGACAACTTGCCTTTTTCCTAGATCTATACAGATCTCACTGAACTGCTGTGATTTGAGGCGATTTTGACGGTAAAATCGGTGAGATTTCGCCGGTAGATTCTGGTTTTTTTCGGCGAGAATTTATGGGGAGAGAAACGAGAAGAGAGAGAAACGCGAGGCAAATCGAAGGATTTTGCCGGTAGATTAGCTGTGATTTCGCCGGTAATTTCTGGGTTTTTTTCGGCGGGAATTTATCGCGAGAGAAGGTGGGAAACTGCGTGAGGAGAGAGAAACAAGAAGAGATAGAAACGCAAATCGAGAGATTAAAAAAAAGGTGTCGAGGGTATTATGGAGAGAACAATTTTATAAAGGTATTGTCTGAAATGTTTTTTTTTTCCGCCAAATGAGGGGTATGCCATGAAGTTAATGTAGCAAAATAAGGGCATTTTTGATAATGCCCGATTCATCCATGGTGTAACGATATCTGTCATCAATAAAAAGGCGCGGATTCTTGCCATCTGGACTTCTAAAGCTGGTTGACATTTTATTTCCTGCGAAAAAACCTGCAGCCATGCATGACGTCCAGATTCCCCAACTGCCGCTCTGGTTTTATTTCATCAATTGAAAGAAAAAATTTGGTACAGTTTTCATAAATTATACAGTAATTCCACCAAGACCCTGGAAAGAAAAACCGGCGATTAGGACAAACACCGTTTATTGGACACATCACCAGAGCCTCGTATCTAAAGCGCCCAAAACAGGAAAAGGATTCGCATAGGACAGGACACAGTCTGAAATTGAAAACAATCCATCAGTTGGTTGAGTCACGGCTGTAGAACTGGTCGAGGGTTTTGGCCGGTATACGGTGCAACAACTCTCGGGGGAAGATCCTGAGGAGTGTCCATGCCAAGTCAAGTGACTGAAAAATGTTACGTGTATCATAGGCTCCCTGCGTCACAAACTTCCTCTCAAATTTGTCCAAGAACTCGAGATACAGCTGTTGCATCATAAGCATTAAGGAATTGTGTGAGATTGAGAGTATAAAGATTTATGTCTTTTCATGGAGAGAGAGAGAGAGAGAGACCAGGTCCTCAGACGACAGAGCTTCTTCTCCAACCACAGCTTTCATTGCCTGCACGTCCTTCCCAATGGCATAATTTGCATACAGCTGTAATATTCAAAGACAACTATAAATTCGGTTCAGCTAGTTCATGGATACGTAGCTTCTTTCCATAGTACATAAGTGTGATGCACAAGAAAGAAAGCATTGCTTACCTGATTCGAAACATCAGCATGGTCTCTACGAGTCATTCCTTCACCAATGGCACTCTGCACCACACAAGTCAATTCAAAACCTCGTCACTGAATTACACAACCACATTCCTCTTGCTTTACCTTCATGAGACGAGACAAAGACGGGAGGACATTGATCGGAGGATATATCTGTGAAAGAAAACCAAACCAGATTTCATCATTACTCAACATAAGCCAAATGATTCTCAACTGACTCTTTGTAAAATGTACAGTTTTCTGAATAATATCAATCTATACCTGTTTTCAAAATTCAGATAATAGAGCTAAGAGATCATTTTCAGCAAGAACTTACCTGTCTATTGTAGAGCTGTCTGTCAATATAGATCTGGCCCTCTGTGATATATCCTGTAAGATCTGGTGTGGGATGCGTAATATCTGACCAGAAATGTGAAAGAAATCAAAAAGTCTGTCACTCAGTATCATGCACTGATCATCAAACATTACACAAGACTATCAAAATAATATTCGATCTTTCACTATACTAGTCTAGATTAACACTAACATATTTTTTTCATTTGTTAATGGAGGTTCATCAGCGGCAAATTATCAAGAGAAAAGTTGTGAACATAATATTTCACATCCTCCAGGCCATTTTTTGGGTTTTGTTCTCCAATGGCTGGAGACAAATGATATCGGTCAGTATAGATGTCAGAACCACCTCAACATGAAAGGCCAATTATGCAGAAGAGAATATCTGGGAGGAATGACAGGAAGGGTAGAGGGCCGTCTAGTAGAGCGGACTGTCATGAAGTTGGAGTACTAAGCATGACGTCGTGTTAGCCTATGCAATAACCACTGACCAGGTATGTGGTTAATATACCTCTTCAAACCAGTTCTTTGGACTCAATTCTATTCATGATTTGAACCTAGTATGCACAGTTCCAATACCAATACCAAGTTTCCACAGTAAATAATATCAGCGCACGCAATAACCACACAGCTTGAAAACAACTACCAACTATTGCTTGCTTCAAACTGATACCATCTGGATTGAAACCATAATTTTTGTTATTTACCATCATTAGGCATAGTAAGAATTGGAATCTGAGTGATGGAGCCTTTTCTCCCCTCAATTCTTCCAGCTCTCTCGTATATAGTGGCCAAGTCAGTGTACATGTAACCTGGGTATCCACGTCTTCCAGGCACTTCTTCACGGGCTGCAGAAACCTAGGATGGTAACCAGCATTTAACAAGTTCAGGCTTTCGGTCAATTTGAAGGGAGTGTTACATTAAAAAATCAGAAAATGATGGATATCCGTTGTCACCTCACGAAGAGCATCAGCGTAGGAACTCATGTCTGTGAGAATGACAAGGACATGCTTGCCACATTCATAGGCCAAGTACTCAGCTGTAGTGAGAGCAATACGAGGCGTAATGATACGTTCGATGGTGGGGTCATTTGCCTGTAAGGGAAACGTTTCAGAGAGTAACAAGCAACAAAAATACAAAACTAACAAAATCCCTGTTGCGACTTTCATAGTATGATTGAAACACTTGCCAAGTTCAGGAAAAGGGTCACTCTCTCCATTGATCCGTTCTCCTCGAAATCACGTTTAAAAAACTGTGCAGTCTCCATGTTCACACCCATAGCTGCAAAAACAATGGCGAAGTTGTCCTCTTCCTGGTCCTGCAAACTCACATAAAATGAGCTGATGTAATCCTCGGTGAGCTATGTTAAAAGATTAGCATTATACAGCAGATGGTAGTTACAAGAACAAAACAAGAGTTTTATTGCATTGAATGGATTGTTGCAGTGGCTTCATCTAGAACAGAGTAAAGCATAAAAATATTTTTGCTCAACTTCTGATATTTCTTGGAAATCAGAGGAATTAGGCAACAGTGTCACAATCATATGCCAACACTGCATTTCCATCAGTAAACTCCAACTGCCAAAGGTTAAAGGTGATACCTGAAGAAGATTATCAGACTTCTCTAACCGTTTAACCAAACCAGCCTGACGACAAATCTGAGCAGCAATCTCGTTGTGAGGAAGACCTGCAGCAGAAAAGAGGGGAATCTTCTGTCCTCTGGCAATCGAGTTCATGACATCGATGGTAGATATCCCCGTCTGAATCATCTCTTCAGGGTAGGTTCTCTCACTAGGATTGATAGAACTTCCTGGAGAAGGAGAAATGAAAAAGGCTAGGCAGCATGCATATAATAAGATTTGATTATTTGAAAAGAGGCTGAAAGTACTTACCAGATATATCTAAGTAAGCCTCTGGCAGTATCGGAGGGCCATTGTCAATGGGCTTCCCTGAACCATTGAAGATGCGACCAAGCATATCCAATGAGACAGGAGTTTTCAAAACCTAGGCAAATCATGTCGGCCAAAGTCAGTTAGCTAGAAATACCAGCACCAACAACACCATGTACAGGTAAGCCAACCAGATCATTTATCTATGTGCCGAAAAAAGAGTACATTTTATACCTCTCCTGTAAATTGCACAGTTGTGTACTTGTTGTCAATTCCAGATGTTCCCTCAAAGACCTGGACAAGAAACAGGAGGGGTTTTACCCCATAGATATATAAACATAAACCAGACCCAGAGCATGCAGGAATTAAGCACCAGGAACTAAGTTATCACTTAAAGAGATATCACACATTTACGTGAGAAACCAGAAGAAAGCCAATGGACGGAGGAAAATTTCCCAACCTGAACAACAGCTTTCTCCCCATCAACTTCAAGAACTTGGCCACGTCGAGTAGTTCCATCCCCAAGACGAATATTGACAATTTCTTGGTATTTAGGACCCTAGAACCAGAAACCATAAGAGACACAGATCACCGAAAAAACCAACAAACAGGAATCCTAAGTAAGAAAAACTGAAACAAAAATGATTCAATGCATATACCTTCACTTTGTCAAGGATGACAAGAGGTCCAGCAACGCCTGAGACCGTCCTATACTCTGCATTTGAAGAAAAAACATGTCAAAAAAGAATAGAAGTCCATGCTGCAGACCTAATACCCATCATCCAACAAGTAAGATAATCGCAATACCACAACAAGAAACAATCCGGCAGCTTTTTTAAGATTTCAATCCCAGTTCTCTGTACATTCCTCTCACTGGAGGGTAAGGTGATTCAAATTTTCATATTGACCATCTAATATTAAGCTCAGCAGTCTCCATATAACACTTACCCATGCCGATCTCCAGGGTACCCTCCTCCATTCCAAGGTTGTTTTCAGCAGCACCCATTTCTGATCTTCACAAATCAAACCAAAACATACAAACTTTTACCATACCTAATCCATAAATTTTCGCTCTCAGCGACAAAACTCAATCTCGATAGACTAAGTCAAGTCAAAATCCAAAACAATCCGACGACACTTTTGAGTTAAATTCCAGGAACTCATGGCGGATAGGAGTAAATAAATCAGAAATCCAAAACAACGCTTAAACTTCACCGGATTGATTGGTCACATTATTCCACTTCATTCAGTTCCGGATTAATCCGAACTCTAATACAATTTCTGAGTTGGATCAAACAATTTCCCCCTCCAGCCCAGAGTTCAAATCCAGAAGTAACAGCAACAAATAGGCGGCAATTGCAGTTGAGGACCCAATAAACAAGAAAATGTTCGTAATCAAGAGCAATTCGACGAATGTAAGACAGGGTAGACGTTGTAACCTTGTGATCCAAAGGTCTGCGGGAGGAAGAAAGAGAGAGGAGGAGAGAGAGCCAGCCAGGTGAGATCTATGGTGGACTATGAGCTAGAGACATAAATAAGTGCAAAATTTTTAATTTCAAGAGAAAAAAGCACAACAATGAACTGGAAGGAAAATTACCCTTTTGAGTATGGGAAATCCTCCTTCTACAGCGTATATCATTAATGTTAATCTGTAGAATTTTAAACAAACGAATCTAATTAGAAAAATTATTGTCCTTTTCTTCTTCTTCTTTTAAGCTAATTCGTCTTAATAATATAATGATGGAGACAATGGTTGTGATTAGGGGTAAGCGTTTCGGTTCGATTCTTTGGAATCGAACCGTACCGAATCGAAAATTTCGATATTTTTTTTCGAATCCGTCCAAAATTCCCGAGCGGTATGATTTTTTCAAAACCGAATCGAACCGGACTTTATAAAATTCCCAAAAAACTTGAATTTTCTTAAGAAAATCTAAATTTTTTAAACAAAAACCGAAACCGAACCGTACCGGAACTGAAACCGAACCGAATAATATACAGTATTAATTTGATACCAATTTTAGAATACCGAAAAAACCGTTCTCGAACCGAACTGCTAAAATTCTGATCTGAATCGTGAAACGACTACTCTAGTTGTGATGGCATGTTAAATAATTAGCTAGACGGATTGCAGTAAAAGAATTAGCTGGACGATTTGGTTTTGTTGTGTAGCCAGGGACAAATACAAAAAATAAAAAAGGATTGCAGGCGTACGCAATACATGTCGTTTATTTTGTAGGAAAACGCCGGGGCGTGCAGACGTCACTGCAGGAAGTAGCTGGACAAGGGAAGCTGTGAGGCAAGCTCGTGAAACCTTCTATTGAGAGTTCTGAGAGCTTCAACGTGGGGCTCGTCTCCTTCTATGGGTATTACCTTGGCGAAGCTTCCTTCTCCAAGAAAATCCACGACACGGTTTGTAGCTTCTAAGCCTGTAACGTACGACTTCTCCTGTTTCCACACAAATACGAGTTTTTGTTATCTTCATGTTTTTGTCACAGAAACCTGTAACATGATTGGGGGCATGGCATGACCTGTGACCAAGAGCCATGTCGGGTTATGACCCAATCTCCTGCCATGAACATGTTGGGGAAAGATGTGGAACCTCGCATCATGTACTTGTACGAACCTGTAAGATCCAAACTGTTGTTGTACGAAACAAGTACAAGATATCTTCTCTTGGTCAAAGGAACTACTCAAGGAGGATTGGGTTATCAGCACCTGGAAAGAAATGGGAAAGAGAGTGGGGAAATCTCTGAACATCTGCATCTACTACAACTGCATTCTCGAAACCTTTCACGCACTTTGAGAGATAGGACATGGTTTTTGTGACTGCAACCTCATCCGTGGTACCCATAAGCTCGTTCCCATGGTACTACACGCAGATATATATATAGTGAACATCAAAATCCTTCAGAAGCACTCACTACAAAATGATCACCATAGAGGAGTACTTACAAAATCAGCGCGAACTACAGTCACTTCATCCTCCCTATGCTCGTCGTATATGGCACTGAGGTCAAAGAAAGTCCATCCATAGGACTCATCAGGCGCAGAACAAGCATTTGAAGCATGAGGAATAGCGACCTGATTGATTATACCTCCATCAGATTCTTGTAAACAAAAAAAAAATAACAATACAAGAACTACCAAAATAATTTCAAAACATAAAACCACAAGAAAGTCATTGGAGTAGACATCAAATAGTTATTGCAGGAAGTCCATCTTTGTTATTCAGTTGATCACACACAACAGGTTCCGACATTCATGAAGCTTTTCACTAGTAATCTCTATATAAAAAAAAATTCAATTCAAGGTTGCAAAACAATGGTGGGAGGAAAGATCCATCTTCTGTAAAGATTTTCTGTGCTTTACGTCTTAAATTATGTGCCTTGTGGCTTAAATTAACTTGAAATCCCAGGAAATCAAACACACCTTCCTATCAAGCTTAAGCTTGACTGAGACGACATCTATGGCAGTCAGATTCAAGACCTTAAGGAACTCCTCCCGCTTACACAGCGCTGCACTAAACAAACATCAAATCTCCGATTAGAAACAACTAAACCATGTGATTCTAATCCTACACAAAATACATACAGCTTTTGAAGTTGAGTAAAAAGGAAAATACCTTTTCTTGACGGTTTCTTGGAGTGCGGAGATTGTTACCGCTAAGATGACAGCATCAGCCGCATAGGTATCTCGACCACAAACTACCTCTGTCACACTCCCCGATTCTTCGTTGATGGTGAAATCGGTCACAGACTTATTTCTCAGAAATCTACAGCCTCTGTCTTTCAAAGATTCCATCCACGGTTCAAAGATCTTCTCCTGGACTGTCCCTCGGCACCACACCATGTTGAAATCTTTCTGAAATCATGTTCATCGTTCATAAAGAAAATTTAATTCCTTATGTGACAGACAGAAAATTAGTATGTTGCCGCATGTCACTACTCCCAATTATGGTGACACAGAAAAGGAAAGAAAGAAAAAACAAAAAGAGCACAAACCTGATGAGAGAGGGTCACATAATACAAGAGAGCAAGCATTGCTGCGGCACTGCATTGCTCAGGAGGGGCAAAGAGACCAACCTGAAGCAATGGCCGGAAGATATCCCGGTAAAGTCGTTTAGAGCAGCCCAACTGCTTTAACAGCTCCCTTGCTGTAACTATATATATCAATCAATCAAACAAATGAAAAAGAAGAAAGAAAAAATGAAGGAGACTTAAGAGTACAACATAGTTCTAATCTTCAAAACTCCCAGAACATTTCCATGTACAATTTATCTGTGTGCGTGCAGAGCTGAAATAGTCCCATATCTCAAAAAGAATTACCACCTCAATAGTCTCGGAGCTCATGAGCATGAGATTACAAACATTTGAGCCGGATATAGGTCAACAACTAAGCCTAACAGTTTGAGAAATACTAGAGCTAGTTAATCGATACACTCTTTAATATATGATGCATGTCGATGTGATTGATAGTGTCTGTATAGATTGTTATATTTTAACGAATTTTCAGAAAGCGACTGGGACTTTGTGTCTATTGATTTATAAAGGCACCCTACCTACCTGGATCATACTTTCTCCAAGCTGCGTCAGTGTTATCAAAGTCGATAGCTGCAGGAGACGACCATGCAATTCCTTAGAAACTCAATTTTGGCTCTCGTTCAGCCAAATGCTACAAAACTTAACTCAGAAAATTTTCTGCTTGCCTGCAGCCATTAGAGGAAGTGAAGATATCTTGTCCATCAAGGGAAGCCTTGCAAACTACAAAAAGCCGAAACGTCAAGAATAAGGGGCCAGTATGTGATCAAACAGACTTTGTATAGACGTATATTATCCATCACAGCATCACAAGACATATTTATGGGAAATAAATCTGTAATCTATACAGTTTCTAAACACATTTGTAGAGCATATTCTTGACCACATTGGGATTGCACAGTTCAATTTGCATGTGTTTCTCTAACCAACTTAAACTTATCCCTTTGGAACCGATCTGCAACATTCATCTGGCACACATTGATAATGTAACTGGCACATGAAAAACAACCAAGAGCCTGGACCTCACGATCTTTACTTACTTGAGTATAGTATAATGTTCCTAATGGAGTGGGTAGCTGAGGAAGCTCTCGGAAAACCGGGAACTCAACCTGCAAGTTAAAAAACGCTCTCTTACGTTGTAAGAAACAGCTTGAGAGAGGAACAAGAGAGTTAAATACCTCTAGACCTTCTACAGAATACTGAGCGGATGTTGTCCAGCTAGTGAATGGCTTCACCCCAAGCTCATCAACCAACGAAAATATATTTCGATATGGATACCAGAACCCTTGCTCAAACAAAAGAAACAAACAGGGTTGGTTAACCGGACAGTTGACAAGAGCCATGCCTTACAATGTACTAGACTTTTGTGGTAACATTATATACTTTGTATCATTGTACGAGGAAATATATACACGACCGAGTTATGTGGCTTGAATCTGTTCGTACCTTGGATTCCGACATCGTCAGGTGTGTTTAATCCACCGCGGCCATCGTCAAGAACTGTCACATCAAAACCCTAGAGCCAAAAAGTCCCAAATCCAAATACATCAATACCCCTGGAACTCTCGAGCATCAATCACCTCAAAATTATGTCTGAATTCGGAACCAAGACCTATCAGAGACCTGGTTGCAGAGGTGATGAGCGGCACCAAGGCCGGCCCAGCCGGAACCCACCACGACGACCTTCTTCGTATTCTTCTTCGCAAAGTAGCTGTCTCCATCTCCGAGGTTCTGAGGAGCTTCGGCTCTGGAACAGAGTCTCCGACAGTGTCCGAGACGCATATTGAACGCCGGTCCTTGTGCCAGACTCAGGCTCCCACACCACATCATCACTATTTCCTGCCCCTTCCAAAGGCCACTTCTTCTGTTTTCCTTTTCCCTGAAAAAGAAAAATCTTTGTGGCCATGTCGGAAGCGGGGATGTGTGTGATCCGGTGACCACAGACATAAACGTCATGCAGTCGATAATCACATCAAGAAAATAAGTTTATGGAGTAGAAAATAAACAAATATGTATATATATATATATATAGTTTTTTTTTATAAGGATGGAAACCAGCCCTTTAGATCGGATTCCGCAACGCCTCACAGCCCAGAGGACCGGACGAATGACACAGATAGCGGACGGTAATCCCAACAGCTCAACGCATCAGCCGGCAAGTCACGTCGAGTAGGTAAACCAGATGAAGCTAACCGGTTCAGGGGAAGCTTGACACCAGGAGAAATCGAACCCCTGATTTTGTGTAGGAAACGTTGTCATCTTACCAACTGAGCTGGGTGGGGTGGACCACGTCGTGGAAGAAAATGTAAAAAGAAAAACCGGGTTGGAGTGGACCATAAAGAAAATGATTCAACAGATGGAATAATGCAGAGTAAGAACAGAGGAATCTGATCAATACATCTCAAAGAGAAAAGGCGATGAAGACGAAGAATAGAAAAAAAGGGGCTACTGTGTATATTCTCGTATATGCTGCATACATTTACAAGTGATATATATTCTACATTGTATCGACACTAAGTATGGCAATGCAATATTTTATATACAAATAAAAGGAAGAGTATCAAATCTGTACGTGTCTCCTTGCCTTATTTACGTGTTGCCGTTATGTTGCTGTCCACCATGCATGTCTTCGTCGATCTCTCTTTGCTCACTTTGTTCACTAACATTCCCCCTCAAGATTGGCCGACCAAGCTCGATAAGGCCAATCTTGGAGAGGCATTTGTTGAGCACGAAGGAGCTTGTTGCCTTAGTGAGAATATCTGCAAGTTGGTCGTGGCTCCTCGTGAAGATTGGTGAGATTATACCTCGTGTGATTTTTTCTCGGATGAAGTGACAATCCACTTCGATGTGCTTTGTCCTTTCGTGAAATACGGAGTTGGCGGCAATGTGGATTGCTGCTTGATTATCACAGTGTAACGGAATAGCCGACCTTGTCTCAATTCCGAGGTCTTTGAGTAATTGTCGTAGCCATACCACCTCACTTGTCGTGTTCGTCATGGCACGGTATTCAGCTTCGGCACTTGATCTTGCCACCACATTTTGTTTTTTGCTTCTCCATGTGACGAGATTCCCTCCGATGAATGTGCAGTAGCCCGTCGTTGATTTGCGATCCATCCTATCTCCGGCCCAATCTGCATCACAATATGCTACGATCTCGGTATGTTTGTTGTTCGCCATGTGTACGCCTTTGTTCGGAGTTCCCTTAAGGTACTTTAGAATCCGGTCCACCATATGCCAATGATTGATCCGTGGGGCATGCATCCATTGACTAACCTGGTGCACAGCAAAGCTAATATCAGGACGTGTAATAGTAAGATATATCAACTTACCTACAACGCGACGGTATTGTTCCGGATCTTGAAATGATTCCCCATCGCGTTGATCCTTGTAGTGCTCCTCGATTGGTGTCCTCACTGGTTTGGCTCCAAGTTTTCCTGTCTCGGTTAGTAAATCTAAAATATACTTACGCTGCGACAAAAATAAACCATTAGATAGAGAGTAACTTCTATTCTAAGAAAATATTTTAACAAACCTAAATCCTTAATATCGAACACATTCTGCAAATAATATTTTGTTTCGACAATACCAGAAACATCATCACCCGACAAAATAATGTCATCAACGTAAACTAAAAGAACTACAATACCGGTATCACGTGTAAGAGTAAAGAGTGAATGATCGGAATCACTTCTCAAAAAACCTTTATCCAAGAGAGCATGATAGAGACGATGATACCAAGCGCGCGGAGATTGTTTAAGACCGTAGATAGCTTTGCGAAGACGGCAAGCCTGACCCGGTAGAATAGAGCCATTGTATCCAGGTGGTGGAGTCATAAAAATTTCTTCGTCGAGATCACCTTGGAGGAAAGCGTTCTTCACATCCATTTGCCAAAGCTGCCAGTTAAGATTCACGGCTAAAGAAATAATAACTCGTACCGTTGGAAGCTTGGCAACCGGGGCAAATGTCTCATTGTAATCTTCTCCATACGTTTGAGTATACCCTTTGGCTACGAGCCGAGCTTTATGACGTTCAATCTCACCATTGCTTAGATACTTTATTTTATACACCCAACGACATCCGACGGGATGTTTTCCTGGAGGCAAATCTGTTATTTCCCAAGTTCCGTTTTTCTCTAAAGCCAATAACTCTTCGGACATAGCTTGTTGCCAGACGTCAATGTCCTTTGCTTGATTATAAGTTGTCGGCTCAATTCCCTGTGAAACACGACTGAGAAAACTTTGTTCATTAGTGGGAAAGAATTGAAGAGTAGAATACTTAGCAATTGGATGAGCAACTGCCAAGTGTCCGGTCTCCTTTTGGTCGAGCAATTTCCAGGTGGGCCGACGTTGTCTATTGCTTCTTTGAAGTTGTAGTGATGCCTCCTGGTTGCTACGTGTATCTTGACAAGATGGATGGGTTTGGTGGATGTCACGTGATGCTGAAGGCATGTTGTGGTGAGGAGAAAGTGGATGAGTCACCAAATCAGGATTGGACAAATCTGATGTGATGTCAGGAATGTGTAATTCCCCCTCAAAAGAATCAGGTGAACCATCATTAGCCGGAGAAGAGTCCACCGAAGGCAAATTGTCGGTGATTTCATTTTCTGCATGATTAGTCGGCGTAGAATGATCTGAAGAAAATGGAATAGTGAAAGGTATACCGTCTGCATGCAACTCATCGTTAGAAGACGAAACAATGTTGACACCGAGCCTTTGGAAAGTTTCGAGGAGATGAGGAAGAGAGTGATTACTATCAGTGCCTTGTGCCACAAGATTCTCCAAATCCGTCCAATTTTGGTCATCAAAATAACCAACTTCTTCCACAAACTTTACATTTCGTGATGTATAGACACGATTGCTCGGAGGATGAAAGCAAAGATATCCTTTTTGATTCGCGGGATAACCGAGGAAAACACATCGAATGCTCTTTGGATCGAGTTTTGTTCTTTGCCCTGCATCAATGTAAGCAAAACACACGCAACCAAATACACGCAAATGATCTAAGGATGCACGTCGATTGAACAATACCTCAAAAGGAGATTTATCTCGAAGTATTTGTGTGGGAAGTCGGTTAATGAGATAACATGCGACCTTCACGGCATCACACCAATATTTCTTTGGTAGAGCGCGATGAAATAAGAGTGTACGAGCTACTTCCATCAAATGGCGATTCTTTCGTTCGGCCACTCCATTTTGTTGCGGTGTGTGCGGGCAAGACCGTTGGTGAATGATCCCTTGTTGAAGAAGATAGTCTCTGAATTGGCTCGTGTACTCACCACCATTATCTGTTCTTAAACATTTTACTTTAACATTGAATTGGTTAGAAACATAAGCAAAGAAATTCTTAGTAGCATAAAAAACATCGCTTTTGGTTTTTAAAGGAGTAATCCACGTGTATTTCGACTTTTCGTCGATAAACGTCACAAAATATTTATAATGATCACGAGAATAACACGGAGCGGTCCAAACATCCGAATGCACTAAATCAAAGACATTCTCATAAGTAGTAACAGAGTCTGGAAAAACAGAACGACAATGTTTCCCTAACGTACAGGCCTCACAAAGAGTATCAAGAGACTTTACGTGGGGAACAAGTAAATGAAATACTTTAGCGTGCGGATGACCTAAACGAGCATGCCACACGCTAGAAGAAACTGAAAGAAAACTAAATTGTGATTCTTCAAGATAGTAAAGATTGCCCTTGCGTGTTCCTTTTCCAAAGACAAGTTCTGATTCAATATCCTGAAATAACACAACATTAGTTTCGAATATAACACGACATGCGATGTCTTGAATAAGCTTAGGTATAGAGAGAAGATTTGTATGAAAGTCAGGGAGATATAATGCCGAGATATCTCGGTTAAACAATTTGATCTTACCGGACCCTTTGATTGGAACACTCTTACCATTGGCAATAGTCACAACGCCTTGGCTTGGAATGATTTTTTGAAACAAAGTTTCATCACAAAACATATGGGTGGTAGCACCCGAATCAAGAACAATGGAAGATTTGTATGAAAAATTACCGGTATCTTTGTTGATAGATTGTAAGAGATGTTTCAGTCCCTTAAGCTCGTCATTAGTCAAGCTGATCGAACTTTCAGATTCACCACTGGCGGTCATAGCCATGCCTTTGCGAGGAGTATCCTTGTATCGAGCAGGCTTCAAATGTGGGTGAAGGATCCAACATCGCTCCTTACTGTGACCTTGCTGTTTGCAGTAGTCACAATGGTACAGTTTACGATCGCGGGAATGGGCAGCTGAGCGGGAAGGTTTGTTAACGTAGTGGGCAATTTCTAGAGGGCCAGAAAAATAATTCCGACCGGTCTCCTCTCTCTTGATCATCATGCACAACTCCTCGAATGTCGGGAGTGTGGATTGACGGAGGACATGGTATATCATGTCGTTGTAAGAAGAGATGTAGCAATAAAAGTGTTTCCGTTCTTTTATCTTTTGTTCTTTCTTTCTAATTTAATTTCCGCATTTTATTTTTCAATATGTAGCAATAAAAGTGTTTTGGGTAGTCGGGGTTACCACTCCACATGGATCGCTGCCATGCCCAGGTCGTAATGCCATCACATACGGATCGCCGCCGTACTATGACCTCAAAACTCAACCAATAGCAATAACCCTCTACGGATCGCCGCCGTAGTCGGTGTTATCACTCCACATGGATCGCTATCATCTCTATTTTATTCAATATTTTTAAAATGTATTTAATTCCCTTAATTATTATATCCCTAATTTTTCTAAATACATTTATTCTTACTAGCATCCATGCATCCACCGTGTCTTTAAAAATGTATTTATTAATATAATATTTACATATTTTTGTGTCTATATATGATATGTTCTTCACAAATTCATTTTGCATGTGTCGCTTCACATAAAAAACCGCAATAAAAAAAAACACTACAAAAGTTACAAAATCTAAATCTCTCTCTACGATCTCTATAACGAACGGAAATTTTAAAAAAAAATGAATGAATTGGGGTAAGGTGATAAAATTAAAAGTTCTGGAAAAATCTGTTATTTCAGTTAGGGTCTTTTAGAACGAAATAAAAGTTTGGGCAGAATTCGAAAATTTCAGAAAATATGGGATTGGACTGCAATTTTTGCTAGGGTTTCTTCTTCTTCTTCTTTTTCCTCCTCCCATGGCCGACCCTAACACCATTGTTGCCTATCTTCCACTCCGATTTGCCTCCTTGCTCGCCGTCGACCATCAACCACCGCCCCGTGCCACCGCTTCATCACCGTCGGTCCGTTTGTCCATCTTTTCTTAGTTTTTCTTCATCGTTTTCCTTCTCCTTTACCGCTATGGAGTTTTTCCGATTTCCAGCGAACGGAAGCTCGGTTTGGGTTGAGACTTGAAGGGTTTGAAAGCACTTGACGAGTTGAATCTTTTCTGGGTAGTGTCGTCGCCGGAAACGGTGAAACATCGCCGGAAAATAACCGAGAACCGTCGGAGAAAAACTTAGATCTAGGGTGATTTAAGCTGATTTAGGCCAAAATAACTTCGGATTTGGATTCCTTGATTGGTTTTACATAGGAAACAAAAAAAAAATTTAAATGATTCCGAGATGTATGACGATCGCCGGCCACCGGCCGCCGACCACCACCACCGGTCGCCGACCACCACCACCGGCCACCGTCGCCAGAAAATTTTCCGGTGACATGGGTTGAACCGTTTCAATCCTGTGATTTCAAATCCGAAATCCGTTTTATAAAATTCAAAGTATTTAGAGATATTCAAACGATTTAAAATAAGACAGTTTAACCGTAAGACTTACTATTCGATTAACGTTTTTTTTTTCGGTAGTAAATATTTTTTTGAAAAATAATTTGTTGATTAAGATTATTATATGATAATTAATTATATGTGAAGAAAATCTCGAGGTTATTGAACCCG